AGAGAGAGAGAGTGTGTGTGTATATGTGTGTAGGAAAGTGCGGGCGCGCTGAAGGTCAGAAATGAGGAGACAAGGACACCGTAGCGGAAGTGTGGGGACCGACGACCGAGACTCACGACGGAGGCCAGAGCACGGGGACGGGCGGCGAAGAAAATGGCACGACCATGCCGCAAAGCTGACGACACGGACAGCGGCACAAAGATCGTGGAGAGACACCCAGGCCGGAAGCAGGCCAATTAAGAGGCCGTCACGGATCGCAAGACCATGGTGACGACGCACTTCAATCAGCAAAAGGTGTTTACGTGGTGGCGACTTGAAGCCCATGTCAGAATTGAAGGAACAAGGTCCGCAGATTTAGGACACTGGAACCAGGCGACATACGACAGAAGAAGATGATACAACAAGTGTGTATCGGTCGAGATACGAACGTATGAGTGAGTTTCCATCTACCGAATGTCATCGAAAGCCGATATGAGTGTCTGAAGTGAGCGAGAAGAAGATACGTGCGTCGTGCCTATGAGCGGGTGTGTGTAGCGACGCCTCCAGGGGGCGCATGAGGTGGTGGGGCACCCGATGCAGATATCGGGTGCGCCATTGCACCTGTCGAACGTCTCTGTCGTCCGTCGCCCGTGCCCTTGCCTCCTCCGTCCGCCTCCGTGCAGTCTATCCCTGCACCTTGTCTCTCTCTGTCGTCCGTGCAAGTGATCCTGCTCTCCTTCTAGGTGCCGGTCTGTTGAGAAGATGTCGCCATCCCTGCGCTAACCAAGTCCCAAGTCAATTTGCCCACGGCCTTCCGATCAGCCACGACGTCAAGGATGATTGGTCTCCTGGCACATCGCATCCGCAGGAAAGTTCCGCAAACCATCGTGCGAAAACCCCATTTGGCTTGGCCGTTAGCGCAAAGCGAAACTCAAACTCGCGCTGCAGGTTAGGCTCGAGCCGGGACAGCACAAACTTCAGCTCGAGCAACCCGAGCACCATCAGAGAGAAGCACGCTGCAAGAGTTCAAGAGAGATCGCCCGTCTTCAAAGGTGTTCCACACTCGCATCACGGGATTCGGCTCTGATTCATTCGGATTGACAAAGCGCTCGAGGTCTCGAGGAAAAAATGGGGTACATGGAGAAAACGTTTTGGGACTCGATCGAAACTAGCTTCGCAAACTCTCTTCGGGCGGCAATGCACGAGCGGACCAGCTGCGGGAGTCAGGACCAGACCACCGCAGCACGCGCACGTCTGCACGCCGCAAAGCAGTGTGCTCGGGCCGCTTATGCGCTGTAGGTCGAGGCCGAGACGTTACCACCACGGCCGGTCCAGTTGATGTGGATGTCCTGGCCCTCGGGGAGCTTGGCGCTCGCGTACTGCGGCAGCACGCGGAAGGTGTGGGCACCAAAGTAGTCACGCTGCGCCTGGAGCAGGTTGGCGGGCAGCTGCTCGCGGCGGTAGCCGTCGAAGAAGGCGAGCGCGGTAGAGAAGGCGGGCGTGGGCAGACCCCAGAGGATGGCCTGGGCGACGACGCGGCGCCAGCCCTCCTGGGCATCGTGGATGGCCTTGTTGAAGAAGTCGTCAAAGAGGAGGTTCTCCAGCTCGGGGTTCTTGCGGAAGGCGGCGGTGATGTCCTTGAGGAAGACGGAGCGGATGATGCAGCCGCCGCGCCACATGAGGGCGATCGAGGGGTTGTTGAGCTTCCAGTCGTACTCCTTGGCGGCCTCGCGCATGAGCATGAAGCCCTGGGCGTACGAGACGATCTTGGAGGCGTAGAGCGCCTGCTCGAGGTCGGCGATGAACTGCTCCTTGTTGCCCTCGAAGGGCTTGATCTGGGGGCCGCCGAGGATCTTGGAGGCGCGGGTGCGCTCGCCCTTGAGCGACGAGAGGCAGCGGGCAAAGACGGCCTCGCCGATCAGGGTGACGGGCTGGCCGAGGTCGAGCGCGTTGATGGCGGTCCACTTGCCGGTACCCTTCTGGCCGGCCGAGTCGAGGATCTTGGTGAGGAGGGGGACGCCGTCCTCGTCGTTGTACTTGAGGATGTCGCGGGTGATCTCGATGAGGAACGAGTCGAGCACGCCCGTGTTCCACTTGGTGAAGATGTCGCCGATCTCGGACTCCTTGAGGCCGAGGCCGTGCTTGAGGATGTCGTAGGCCTCGCAGATGAGCTGCATGTCACCGTACTCGATACCGTTGTGCACCATCTTGACGTAGTGGCCGGCACCGGTCTGCCCGACCCAGTCACAGCAGGGCTCGCCGTCCGACTGCGCCGCGGTCTTCTGGAAGATCTCCTTGATGTGGGGCCAGGCGGCGTCCGAACCACCGGGCATGAGCGAAGGGCCGTGGCGGGCACCCTCCTCACCGCCCGAGACACCGGAGCCGACAAAGAGGAGGCCCTTGGCCTCGAGCTCCTTGGCGCGGCGGATCGAGTCGGGGTAGTGCGAGTTACCGCCGTCAATGATGATGTCGCCCTGCTCAAGGTGGGGTACGAGCTGCTCGATGAAGGCGTCGACGGCGGGGCCGGCCTTGACGAGGAGGATCATCTTACGGGGGCGCTTGAGCTTGGCAACAAACTCCTCGATCGACTTGGCGCCAACGACGTTGGTGCCTACGATGGAGTCATGCCAGCAAAGCGTCGAGGAGCCGCGTAGAGCAGGGGCAGCACAGAATGGGATGGGAAGAAGCGAAGGAGGTAACAAAGGTGTCAGGAAGCAGCTCTTTATCTCCAGAAGCTCGGAACGTGCCGTAATCCACGGTTCTGGGACGCTGAGTAGCCGCGCAGCTTCCTTGAGCCGGCGAATTGCCGTTCAGCATCCCAGAAAGCTGGATGTCGGTGGTACATACCCTTGGCCTCGTTGGCGAGGAAGTCGTCCACCTTGCTGGTGGTACGGTTGTACGCGCAGACAGTGAAGCCCTTGTCTAGAATCGGTGCGGAACAGGAAAAGATCGAAATTTCGAGACAGATCAGTACTTGCTAGCCGAACTTCCTCAAGAGTGCGCCTTGCTTGCGTGCTTTTCTTCACGAAAGCAGCATCGCAGCGGACGCCGGGGCTGGATCAGGAAACATACCGTTCATGTTGAGGATCAGGTTCTGACCCATGACGGCGAGGCCGATAAGGCCGATGTCGGCACTGTGAGCAGAACGAAGAATGCGACGAGAGCGAGCAGCATGGTCAAGTCAGGGCGTCAGTGAAGACTGTCCGGCAAATCAAGAGAGCGCCGGAGACGCAAGCTGGAAAGGAGGGCAGCAGACTTACACAGCTTGGGACGACATTGTGCGTGAAGTAAGCTGGGCGGTGAGGGAGGAGATGCGGGAGCGAGCTGTGGAGAGAATCCTTGCGATCGCTGAGGAGCAAAGGGCAGAGGATGGGGATGTTGTGGATGAGAAGGAACAAGTAGCTTCGACGGCGAAGACAGATGGAGATGGAGGGAGAGGGATGTTGGGAAGTGGTCCGCTCCAAGCGAGAAGCATCGCGGACCGAGGTCAGCGGACGAGCGGCCCTGGCCTGCGCCCCGCCCGTGCCCAAATTGCAACCAGGCCAAGATGAGCGAGCAGAGTTGGCAGGGCCTGCCAAAGTGGAGCCGAGCAGTGGCAGCAGCTGACGATTGAGAGGGCATCCGCCCACGCCTGTTTCCCGTGGGTGCACGGTCGCTCACCTGAACTCGCCGTGCTTCCGCCGAGATCGATTTGAAGCGATCGCAAATTCTCCCTCCCTCGCTCAGTCGTAGTCCAGGGAGGCCCGAACGCAGTGTTGTGCTGCACCCTGCCGACATCTCCACGGCGCGACTTTTCTCGCAGACCACGCTCCCAAGAAGAATCGCAGATTTGAGTCACAGGAAATTCATTCAGCGGCTGCCTTTTGGTTTTGGTTTCGGGCCGCTCAATGACGCAGCGTGCAGCGTGCTGCCCAAGGTCATCCTCAGCCGGACCAACCAGACCAGAGGGCGCGCCCACTCTCGCACGTCAGCAGCCTCCATTCGGTCCCCCCCTTCCCGGCTCGGCAGCAAGCAACGCAGTTCAGATTCAAAGGGTGAGATTGGCGGGCACCCATGCCATGTCCCCAAAAATTGATGCCGTGAGATCACCGGGCTTCTACCGCGCGCATCACTTCTTGCTGCATCGCTGAGACTGCACTGCCATCATCTTCCCGTCAACTGCAGTCAGGACACGAGCAATGCTCGTGCCTCTGTCGACGGCGTCGAAAGTAGCGCTTTGCTGAGCGAATTGAACAGCGAAAGGCAGTACTTTGGGTATCAAGAGCGGGGCGAGGGGCAGACCGGACCGGAGCTCCTGGCTGATCTTCTCGGGCGCAGGGCTACGGATGCGATCGATAACGCGCGCCCCGTGCGTCGATCTGCCAGTCTTTCCGCCGCGCAGTTTGCAAATGTTAGATCAAATACCAGCCTCTCATGACTCCGGTCCTCGGTCCGGCCTTGCCTCCTTGATCTCCAGCCCAGCCCAACACCCCGCATCTAGGACCTTTGCCTTGAGGGATCTGCGAGGCACATCTCGCGTGGCGAGAGAAGACTGCGACAGCACAACTGAGGGCCACATCCACGAGTCGGGCACGGCAAGCCATCCTGCCTCACATCCGACGAGATTGCCGGTCACGCAGTAGATCGCCGATCGATCCCCACCAAACACACCCACTCCGCGCGGAGCCAAGATTGCCGACGGTGCTTGCACCCATCTGGATAGAATTGCGGAGGCAGAGCGGAAGAAGACGATTCCTCTTGGGACAGGTCCGGAGCATGAGCCGCTCCAGGGGGTAAAATACAGCGCGGATGGGGTTCCAGGGACGATGCAAAAAGTGGTCAATACATGAGCGAGAAGAAATGCATGCGAGGGCCGCTCGGCGATCACGGCTGCGAGGCTTTGACACTGAGTGCGCCCAGACAGCCGCCAAAGCCAAACAGCAGCGCCGACTCGTCGCGTTGAGACGTCGGAAGGCCGCGCAAGGGATAGAGTCGCGAGAACGACAGCGCCGCATCCATCACGACGTCGTGATCCCGTCGGCCATTTCGCTGAATCGAGAGTGAGGATCGTGGCGTCGCGTCGCGATCCGTTTTGTCCACAGCCTCGAGCAGTAGAGGCTGTCGCGGCACGAGCAGCTCTCCGCCTCGACCGAGCGTCAGCTCGTGCCGCAGATCCAGCGCCCACCATTCCCACCGACTCTGGTGCGGGCTCCGCTGCGCTCGGCCCACGCCGATGAGCAACGGCTTGGAGCCCACCGCAAAGCTGCCGCCGCGCTCGCATCGAATCCAGCCGAGAAGACGCAGCTGGCGCTCGTCCATCTTCTGCGTCGAGGTGCTGGGCGAGAGCATGTTTGGGAACGCCGACAGACTCGAGGACATGGCCGCGGCCTGCGAGGTGCCATCGGCGACCACGCTGGCGCCGCTGCGGTCTCGCGTGTGCGCACTGGCGCGACGCAATCTCGAAGCGGAGCCATGCGAAGACATTGGGTACGACAGCGGATTGGCAAGCTCGGCTGCGGGACTGGGCGGTGTCGAAGCATCCGCCCAAAACGTCGCGGCGTTGGTGCGAGAGCCATTGGGCGTGCGGATACGCAGCGGCGAACCGGACAGGTAGCCTGCGAGACTGCTGTGCACAGATCCGCTCTTGTCCATCAACGAAGCTGCGTTCATTGACCCGCCGGCAATGATGAGCAGGGAAGATCGACATGTGGACTGAGCTATCAAGGCCGGGGTGCTGGCATCGCCAGCGTCGATGGTGCACAGTCCGGTCACAGGTCCGTCGTCGAGGTCGACACTGCTGATGGTCTCGGCCGTCTCGACATCGATCAGGCGCACGCGTCCGTTGGCAAAGCCGAGCACCAGAGTGCTTCTGAGCAGAGCTGCTTCGTCCGCTGATGGCGGTCGGCTCGCCAGCTGGCACAAAAGCGCCGAGCAGACTCGGCTGCGATCTTCGCAAGCAAGTGTGAAGACGGTCTTGGTGGAGGAGGTGGCCGGCTCGACCGACCTGATATGGAACAAGCCGTCCGTCGTGGCGAATGCGAGCAAACTCGGATCGCAGGACCCCGACGGCTTGTTGGCGCCATGAGCGCTGCCTTGATGATGCGCCACATTGACATGTACGCTCCTCCACCGCAAGCGAGGGTCGAGATGCGTTTGTGCGGATGCCAAGGTGACTTGTTTGCGCGCCACATTCCAGATGCGGATGGTGCCATCTCGATGCGCCGAAATCGCGGTTGCAGACTCGAGAATGTGCATGGACTCGTGATGCTGTAGGATCAAAGAGATGACTGGAGAGACAGCGCTGTCCGGAACATGGTCCCAGATCGTCTCGAGGGTCTCTGTGGAGACGAAATGCAGCCGCCCCGATTCGTATCCGATCGACAGCCATCGTGCTTCTGCTGACATTGCGGCGGCAGTCACGACGCTTGCGTCGCTGGCGGCGCGCGTCCTGCCCAGGCTTCCCATCACTTCGACGCCTTTGTCGCCGCCGGACGCGGCAACAACGCTCCAAATGCGGATGCCGCCGCCGTTGTCGATCGAGGCGGCAAGCGCTCCATCGTGCACCAGGAACTCAACATCGCACGGATGGGCGTTGGTGATGATTGAGGTGTGCGGCCGCAGGTGCGGAGCGGAGTCATTGAGAAGCGAGCCCGACTCGCCCTCGGAAGGATCCGCTTCAGACTTGTCCCTCTGCGCATCGAGCAGCTCGGTGTCCTTCAAGAGGTAGAGAAGGAGCATCCAGAGCAATGCTGTCGTTCCGGAGATGGGCAGAACGACGAGCTTGGCGAACCAAATCACGGCCCTGATCCTCGGTCGGAAGAGGGCCCAACCTGCAAACGTGGACATCGATGGAGGCGACTGAGCGTCGTTGGATGAGCGGAGGGACAAGATGGTCCAAGGCTCGACATGAACCCTGAGCTCGCTGGCGCCGAGCGGATTGAGCGAGGTCCAGAGATCGGCGCTGGGCGACGATGTCCACCAGGGCAGGGAGGGGCCCGTCTTGGCGTCCAGATGGCCGAACGGATCGAATGCGGCGTTTGTAGCCGGCGCTTGGCGGACCGTGTCCCAGTCGGCGGGTAGCACAAAGCTCGACTGCCGAAGGCTCGGGTATCCCGTGCCATAGTAGAGGTAGAGGCCGCTCATGTAGACTAGGATGAGGGTGAGACTGGCGGTGCGTGCCGATCGTGCCTTCCACAGCTGAGAGAGAAGGTTGACAACGATGTTGGTGGACCGGACCTGTTTGCGAAGGGTGCCGTCGGGTTGATCGTCGCCAGTCGCTTGGTCGATGGAGCCGGCCGAGTCTTGCGTGGTGCTGCCGTCGCTCATCTGGAGAGCGCTGTCCTGTTTGCGCGTGAGGCGGGTTCCCTGTGTGAGAAGATCTGCGAGCTCGAGGCGCTGCATGTCGATGCTGAGGACGGTGACGAAGAAGGTCATTTGGAGGAACCAGTCCATCATGAGGGAGAAGATGGCGAAGATGCAGAATTCGCGCACGGCTCGGACGCCGATGAAGAAGGCAATGACGAGGAGGAGGAGGATGTCGGCGAGGGTGGTGAGGGTGATGGGCACGCCCACCTTGCCGAGGCCGTGCGCGATGCGGGAGGAGACGGTGAGGGAGAGCGGAGTGTCGATGATGGCCTTGGTCAAGCTAAACATGTTTTCGGAGCCGACGACGACGATGACAAAGGGCAGAAGCTCCCACGGCACCAGGGCGAGTCGGATGCCGAGAAGCGCACAGATGCTGACACTCATGACCATGCTGATGAGAAGCTGGGTGGTGCCTGTGAAGGCGAGACCGAAGCGCGAGTGGACCTTGCGCAGCTTGATGAGGCCGCGTGAGATGTAGAGGATGACGAATGCATAGGCGGTCAGGAGCAAGATGTGCGTGGGCCTGCGTCGAGACGAGAGCATTTCGGGGGAGAACCGAAGCACGAGGCTGTGCAGAACGCTCTCTGGGGAAGCAATGAGGCGGACTTGGCCACCAGTGACGCGGTTGAGCAGCTCGTGCCATCGCGAGTGACTCAACGTCGGGCGAGCAGCGGGAGGCGTGGATGCTGAGAGATCCGAGCAGCCGCCTTCGCTTGAATCCTGGCGTAGAAAGAAGGTGAATGCGAGGTACTCTGCACGCGGCAGTCGCTTGAAGAGATGCCAGCGACCGGCAAGAGTGGTGGAAAAGGAGATGGGCACTCCTCGAAGCGTACGATTGAGCGTGGAATGGGAGACGAGCTGAGCTGGATCGTCCTCTGCTAGTATTGTGTCCGAGTCGAGATTCCAGTATTCGAGCGGGGACAAGGTCAAGCAAGCGTCATCCGTGTTGGAAGGCTGGCTGAGCTCGTGCGAGCTCGGTCTGCCTGGAAACGAGGGCCGAACTTGCACGCAGTCTAGCTGCAGCTCGACAGAGTCTGGATCGTACCGCCCGCGCAGCTCGGACTCGATCGACTTTTGCAACTGAAGAGCGGAATGCAGAATGCGCTTCTCCAGAACGCCGAAGCGTGGGCCCCGACCGGCCATGACATCGTCGGTGGTGATGAAGACGTGCTCGACGCGCACGGATTGGCAGCGTGGACGCGAAACAGCCGGCGCCGACGTATGTGCTGGTTGGATCTGGGTCGCCTGCAGGTCGAAGATGGCGCGGGCGTCGCCGATGTCGATGGCCCTGAGGTCGGGGGCATCGTCCCAGATCATACGGAGGTCGCTGAGGCTATTGACGTGCTTACGGCCGCTGCTAGCGAAGGAGTCCATGAAGGGAGTGCTGAGGGATCTCCAGACGCTCTTTGCATCGCCTCTGGATACGCCGGGGCCGCCCTTGGACGCCCAAAAATAGATGCCGACGGCCGGGTAGAAGAGCGAGGTGATGACGAGCGAGCACAGAAGCAGAGTGCGTATCTGATGTTTGGAAATCCAGCGACCATGATGCTGGAACAGGCTTTCGCCGCGCGAGCGAAAGTGCCGGATGAAGGGGAATGAGGCGGCCGAGCCGGCTTGGGATCGGCGGGCCCTTGTGGATGCGGGCTGCCTGCGTGCGCCGCGCCGCCCGCTCCCGGCGACACCCATGGTCATGTGTGCCGAATTGAGTGGGCGCTCGACTGCGAGGCTGAGGCCACCGCCAGGCGTTGATGAAGACCGTCTAGACCCAAAGCAGCTATGTGGGCGGAGACCAGGCGGGCAGGTCAGGTGCTTAGACGAATTCGGTTTCGACGCAGGCGTCCTACACTAGCTAGTCAAGAATCGCTGAAAGAGGCGCCGACATTGTTGTCCTGGGGCAGGAAAAGTGCTTCGTTCGGGCCTTGGTAGCGCTCGGGATGGCCGAAGCTTTGTCGAGAAGAGACAGTTGAGGGTGATGTAGCAAAGCTCAAGCTCAGCTCCGACTCCAACGCAAAGGCCAAACCAAGCCAGGGTTTTCGGTCGGTCGGAAGGGTCCGAGCATTCACATTGCGGCGCGGCGGTGCTGACGCGAAATTCCGAGCAGCCTTCCAAGCATCCCTTCCCCAGCAGCATTCCGCCAACGAGCTTCAGAGGATGCCAGGATCACGCTCTTTCGGAAGTGCCGCTGCAGGTCGCGACTGCCGAACGTATGATTTTTGGCGTCTTTTTTTTTTCTTCGGCGCCCACGAGCCGGCATGTGCTCTCGCGTCTCGGTGCATGCATTTTGCATCGTGTCTTTCAGTCAGTCCTCCGATGTTCTCGATGTGACTCAAGGAAGAGGAAGATCTTCGGAAAGCGTCCGAGCTAGCGCGCATCTATTCGGTTCTGTGATTAAGCTGCTGTCTGACACTCGAAAGAGAGGCGCATGAGCGAGGAACGCGGCCCACCGGCAGGTAAGGTTCACTCTTGGATTCGGGCCGAGACGCAGGCTTCCCGCAGAGGTGCAGTCGCGGTGAGTGCAGGTCCAGCAGCTCGAGCCGAGGTGAGCTCAACCATCAGCTCCTCCGTGAGCGGTCGCTCGGATCATTGTCGCGATCCGACCACGTTGCCCCATCCAGCTAACTTTTCCCCCGTGTCATCTCTATCTTGGCGGCTGCAGGTCTGACTTTGCGGTCTGCCCCACGCTCGCCGTTGAGAGGACCAGGGTAGCACAAAATCATTTCGTCTCGCCTAGATCCCGATGGGAGCGCAGGATCGGGTGGTGGCTGTGCCCGAGGATCTCGTGGACTCAGAGGCAAAGAGCAAAGCAAGGAGACTCGATTCAAAACGCTGGCGGCGACACACGGACGGAATTTGCAACGGCAATGCAAGCTGGAATTGCGGACGAGAAAAGGCGGTGTGATGCACGGACGTAAGCGCCCGCCCGCCTCCACTTTCCTTCGGTTAAGACTGCTGCCGATCAAGCCAAATAACGCCGGAGCACAACATGCTCCCCAGCGACGTTGGACGTCGGCACGGTTCCGAGATCAGACTCGCGTGCGAAACAGCTCAAGCGATGTGGAAGCAGCGCCGTGTCTGCAGCGCTGGCTGAGGCTCCAAATCCTCGATTCCGGCCTCAGCTTCTACTGCTTGGCTGATCACGTTCGGCCGTTTCGGCCTTCCAGCCAAGGCTGCCGACCCAATCAGCCGGCCCCTCCATCCCATCCCTCTCGTCTCCCATCCATCCCACTCATCGCCGCTCATCATCTCCTCCCAAGCACACTTGAAACCTCATCTCAACACTCTACCATCCGCAAACAAGCCATCCTCCACCATGTCTCTCCCCGCCAAGATGCGCGCACTCGTCACCGTCGAAGGCAAGAAGGCCGAGGTGAAGGAAGTGCCCGTTCCCTCGCTCGATGCCGACGAGATCCTCGTTCGCGTCAAAGCCGTGACGCTCAACCCGACCGACTGGAAGCACATCCAGTACATTGCCCCTCCTGGTGTCACTGTCGGCTGTGACTTTGCCGGTGTCGTCGAGCAGATCGGACCCGATGCCAAAAACACCTCGCTCAAGAAGGGCGACCGCGTCGCTGGCTTCGTCCACGGCTCCAAGGACGCCGACCGTGGTAGCTTTGCCGAATTCCTCAAGACCAACAGCGAGCTTGTGGCCAAGATCCCGGACAACTTCGACGATGCAGCTGCCAGCGCACTCGGGGTCGGCGGAGAGACCGCTGTGCAGGCCCTCTTCCATCGACTGGCGATTCCCGTGCCCGACTACTCGCACGGCGCTGTGCCCGTGACCGACGACTCGCCCGAGCTGCTCGTGTGGGCCGGAAGCACCTCGGTCGGTCAGTGGGCCGTTCAGATCGGCCACGCTACCGGCTACAAGGTCATCACCACCGCCAGCCCCAAGAACCACGAGCTGCTCAAGCAGCTCGGTGCACACGACGTCTACGACTACCGCGACGAGACCACCCCGCAGAAGATCTCGTCCAAGTATCCCAACCTGGTAAGTGCGAGCTATTCATCCTGGTTAAGAGAACGAAAGACTGACGCCTTTTTTTTACCGCCCCTTAGAGCAAGGCCCTCGACTGCATTTCAGAGAACGGCACGCAGCAGCTCTGTGTCAAGTCGCTCGGCACCAACGGCGGTGATGTCGTTGTCCTCCTCAAGCCCGACCCAGAGGCCATCGCCCTTCGCAAGGGTGAGGTCAACATCATCCATACCCTCGCCTACACCGCCCTCGGTCGGCCCTTCACCTACGGCAAAGCCGCCGTATTCGACCAGGACCGCGTCTCGGCAGATGCAGCCCTCATGAAGGAATGGCTCAACGGCGACAAGGGTCACTTCTACTCGCTCCTCCAGCGCGGCATCCTTCGCGGCAACAAGATCAAGAAAATGGACGGTGGCCTGGACAGCATCAACGAGGGCCTCAAGTACCTTCAGGACGGAAAGGTCTCTGCCGAAAAGCTCGCCTACACCATCAGCTCTTAATTTCCTACCCTCGCGCTCTTGCGGTGCGCGCCTCATACCAGCCGACGCACATCGATCCCCCAACCCTATTGTCCAGACTGAGTCAATGTAAGCTGCACGACAGCATCTGTGTGATCACCTGCAAACCTACGCCCAGCAGGGTGGCTCGTGTCGCGCCCAAAATTCAGATCACAGTCATTCATTGATGCACGGAGCTAATGTCCATTCCGTACGACTTGGCGTCCCGATGCTTGAGGCCGAGTCTCAGTTTCCTTGCGTGCGGGTCATGCTCGTCGGTGTAAAGGTGGGGTGCGACGCAGGCACCCCGGCGGCCGTGGCCGAGGACTCGGCGGCAATCTCTTGCTCCAATTGGGCACGTGCGCCGCGGTCAATGTCCGCCATCAACACGTTCAAGGCGTCGTACAGTGAGTCACTGCGCTCCCGACTCTGACGCAGATCCTGGCTCAGTGCAGCGAGCTGCTCTCTGTGCGCCTTGCCAACCGCCTCCTGCTGCGCCGTCAATGTGACGAGCAAGCGAGCCTCGGTCCCGGCAAGAGCCATCCGATGCCGCTCATCCTGCCGCTCCTCCTGGGCAGCCAGCAGAGCTTCCACCCGTGCTATCGCCTTGCGATTGTCGTCCATCTGCGCAGCCTGCGCATCCAGCCTAGCCTCGAGCCGTGCGATGGCGTCTTGCGTAGCTCTTTGGTTGGCCTGGCTGAAGATGCGCAGGATCTCGGTGATGACGCGCAAGTCACCCGGGTTGAGCGACGCAAGCCCCGTTGCCGCGGCGCTCGAAGAGGACGCTGCCGCCGCAGGGGCGGAGCTAGCGGCAAGATCGGCAGCCACCGTCGGGTTCACCACATTGGCCTGCTGGACAGTCGCCGCCAGGACTGCTGCCGTCGCTGAGGATGACGCATCCTGGGGCACGGCCAGCGATGACATCGAGACCGCAGCAGGGGTAGAAACAACGGGTGCAGTTGACACGACGGCAGGTGAGACTGCTGCGGTCTTTGCCGGCTGAGCGGTACCGTTGCTTGAAACGGACGCAGACGATTGGCTCGGCGGTCTTGATATCGATGCAGGTCCCGAGATCGAAGCGGGAATGACAGGCGGAACAGCGACCGACGCAGTTGGCGCGACTACGGGTGCAACGACTGCAGCCTTTGTCGGCTGAGCGGTAGCCTTGGTTGGGATGGTCGTAGACATCTGACTGGGCGGTCTAGAGATCGATGACGCTCCCGAGGCCGGAGCCGAAGTGGAAGCCGGGACTGCGATCGTCGCAGCTGGGGCGACCGCAGGTGCGATCAGTGCACTCTTTGTCGGTTTGACGGTGCCGTTGGTTGCAGCAGACGCAGACACCTGACTCGGGGGCCTAGAGATTGATGGCGTTTCTGAGCTCGAAGGAGCAACCGGCGTCGAAGGTGGTCCCGAATTGGATGGCCGCACGGACACAGCACCTCCGACTCGCAGCACAAATTTGCGAACCCCATTCGAGATCGTCAGAGCCGAGGTGGAAGGCAGGTCCTTCTCGCCAAGCACAGCGGATTTATCTTGGACGACCACCGAGGCCGGTAGGTCCTGAACCTCGGCGAGCGAAGTACCAGTTGGAGAAGATTCGGCCAACGGAGAGTCGGCAGCTTGAGCAGCTCTGTGGCTCTGCGCAGATGGCTGCGCGATGGGTTGGGATTCCGGTGGTGGATTTGGCTTGGCGCGCTTCCTTGACGGGCTGCCGGGAGATGCGGTTGACGGCAGGTGTATCGCGTCGTTCTGTCGCTTGAGCGAAGATGCTGACGCGGAAGACGCCAATTCATACATCTTGGGGGTAGACGTCTCGAATGCGGGTTTCCTGCCTCTACGCATCCCAAGCGTGCCCGATAGTCCGCGCGGATATTGCTCCGTGCTGTCGAGGAATCCAATGCGACAACTAGGGTTGATTGGAACACACTTGCTCTTGGTCTTGGCGGCTTCAATGAGGGCAAAGTGCGAGCGCGCCTCGTCGCGGTAGCTTAACGGATCCAGCCGCCATTCCTTGTAGTCGAGCTTGCTCGACTTAGCATGGTACTTGTGAAACATCTCCGAGTTTTTTTGGGCCAGCGCGTGCACCGGGTGGATGTAGACCTTGTGAAGCAGACAGCCGAAGCAGTACGAGTATCGACACGGTTTGCAATAGTACCGCTGCGTGATGTCGAGGACTGCCTTGCACATCCTGCAGGGCGCCACATTCTGCCGCCAGCCCGGGGTCTGGCGGATGGTGTAGAGCTTGTAGGCAGCCATGAAGCTGTGTGGCCATGCTTGCTTTCCAACGTCCTTTTCTTGCAGAACGTTGACCGGCTGCCATTCGGCTTCCTCGGCGTCCTCGACAAGCTCTTTGATCGTTGGGGGCTCCGATGACGATGACGACGACGACGACGACGACGACGACG